AATTTTCCCCCTGTGGACTTGCTTGAATATTTGTTTGTCTTCTTTTCCCTGTTGTGTATTTCCTAATACTTTCTATTCGCTGAGATACGGTGTTGCTATTATTGGCCGGTTTTTTTTTTTTTTTTTGGATGTTCTTTCTGGTATAGCTGAGGGACTTCCAGACACTTCAGTTGTGAAGGGTATTCTGAGTTGTGTTATTTTTCCAGCCCCCACTGTGTGTAATTGTTGTCTCAGCTGGTAACAGTCAGGGGTCTCTTGTGTTGTTCAGCCTCTTCTAGTAACACATTGAGGCCTTGTTTCTGGAAGGTGTCTGTTGATCTTTGTAGCCTTCAGATGTCCCAGGTTCCCTCTATGCTTGGTGTGCCCGTGGTGGTTATGATGAAATAGAAGTGCTGTAGGTCTCCCTGGAGCTGGGCCTTTGGCTGAGTCGGTAGCTGACTTTGTTTACACTCTAAGTACTGTGAGCTTTTCTGGCTCCCAAGTCTTCGGGCCTCTGTTGTGGGGATGGGATCTCCCCCTCCCCACAGGAGTGCAGGGGAGTGCCAGAGGCTGCCAGTCCTCCCTCTGAGCTTTCAGGGCTCTTTTTCCAAATAATCCCTCTCTGAGCAGTGCTTCCTCACCACCTGAAGTCCTTTCACAGAGCCCAGAGTATCTCTTTAACTCCAGGGTTTTACCACAGTTTTTGTGGGTAGATGTGATAAGCAGGTAGACCCCTGAGCAAGTCTCCCCATTTGAGGCACTTCCTAGACCCTCTCTATGTTGAATGTGCCCATGCAAAATTGTTAAAATTGCTGCATTATCCTAGGGTTGGGCCTGTGTTTGGGTTCTGTCTAACTAGTTTTTTTGTTTGTTTGTTTGTTTTTTGTTTTCCCCCTCTTTAACTCAGGGGCTTTGTGAGTCTTGTTGACCACACCTTAGAGAATGGCACCAAGACCTGACCAAACCCTAATGTTGCCTAGTCTCAGATATCTGTTGTGGGGGCAGGAGATGCGGGTAGGACTAGAGTTCTCTTCTCTGCCTCCTGGGCTCTAAGTAGAGCAGTTTTTTGTTTTCATTTGATTTTGAAGCTTGTGGTGAGTGTCTTTACGTGAGTTCACTGAAATCAATAATACCATGCAAATTTTTACAAGTAAAACATGACTGGCAGGACATCCTAACTTAAAAAATGTTTTATATGTTGCTTGATGTCCTTAATCAGTGAGTTTTCACAATATAGAATTATTGCGTAACCCATTTCCAATTAAGCAAAACAGACTGACTATATACCATGTCATTTTTTAACCTTTTTCCTGAAACAGCTTATTCTGAAGTTTAAATTTTGGTGAAGCATAATGCTGTCAATTTTATACTTAAAACCAAACTAATAAATTGTCTTGCAGCCACAGAAAAGTAAGTAAAACATTGACAACAAAGAAAAGGCAGTAGGGTTCCAACACTATTTATACCTAAGGATTGTGACCCAATCAAATACATAAATTACAGATTTCCCAGAGCCACAGGAATGAGTATTCAGGAGTGATGACTCATGCTCCTGAATATCGGTAGTCTCAGGGAAGGATGTGAGCATATAGGACACAGTGATCCAAACCTTACACCAAGCTGTAGTCAGATAGAGTCTTACTTAGATTCTCCTCAGTTTTGATTTCAGTAAGACTCTCCTCGTGTTTTGTTTTGGTACTGTCATAAGAACGGACTAGTTCTTCTTGAGTAATAGTAGTTCCTTCTATTTGAGAAAATGCATATCCATCTGAAAGAACCAAACACAAAGAAATCTGTTATGAGCAGTAATATGCATGAATATTCTGCTGATAGGAAGTGAGACTCATGCCAGGCTAGGATTACTGACATCAGCTAGGTCAGTGACTGAGGTGGGAAAAGTAGCTAGGTCTGTGCCAACATGATAGTCAAATGGTTTGCATATCTGGCTATATTAGAGCAACTAAGAGAACCTGTTAAATATCCCCATTTCTAAGGTGTCTGAAGTGTTACCATGTTCTGAGTGAGGCCTAAAGAGGCATCTGAAGCTCAGGTCTGTTTGCTTGAGATTGTGGCTGAGGCTGGACTGAGCAGCTCAAACAGTGGCCTCTTGGTCTTTGATTTCATTGTCCTATGGTATTTCAAGAGGAGGGGATCTGCAAATGTCTAAATTGTGAATCTTGAAACTGAAACCCAGAATAGTTGTCTATGAAGCTGCAATTTGTTAAATTTGGTGATGAATACATAACTGTTGTCACATTATTTTAAAATGAGGTCAAATGAATAAGGTCAGTGGTAGGAATGCCTGAGTAATTAACTGGAGCTCTGACCCTGGGAGAATAGTCTTCAAATCATTTCTGAAAGTAATGTTGGTACTCACCAGGCAATATAAAGGGCTTACAAGTGTTTTCATATTCTCTAACTCTTGACCTTGACAGTTTAGACAAAAGAGCAATCAAACTCTTGAATGACATATTCAGATAAAAATATGACACAGAGCCAGGCAACTGCTGTTTCCTAAAAGATCAGTGAAAACCTTGGGGAGAAAGGCAGAGGGTATGGGGAGTGGCTCTCATTCCTAACAGATTCCCATGCACCTTTATTGTTATTATCCTTTTTGTTTGGCTTTTTCCTTCCCCAATATAAAATTCTGCATTCACAGTATTGAAGCCTTTCATCTAGGCACTTTCTTTTTTTGATGAATCTCAGGTGCAAGGAGGGGGAAATATAAAACCACTTTTTAAGTTTTCATTCCTACCTTGGGTTGTGTTAGCTTAAAAAAAAAAAAAAAGGTATGTAAGTTTTCTTTGGATAGCAATTATTTTTGTTGGCCAGGACTTCAGTGGGCTTCCCAGGGACCTAAATGACCATGGCCAGTAATTTCTACCTGTGTTAATACATACTGCACAAGGACAAGTTTAGGCATGAGGTTTCGGAGTTCTAGTTTCCACTGGATGAAAGGTTAGATATGCCAACAACAACAATTATAAAAATGATGTCATGGGCAGAAAGAGGCTATGTACACAAGAATGTAATGGACGAATTGAGAATTATTGATGGCAGTGAAATTGCAAAAGATGATGATTTTTGTGGCCTCCCTGAAGATATATGGTGAATGCAGGAGTAGCCAATAGCAGCTTGAAATTGCACCTGGAGATGAACATGTTTCTTTCACCATATCAAAAATTGTTTCTCTTATTGATATAAATCAGTCAAAGGATCGCGAAAATCTTCCAATATTTTATTATTTGGTATTAAATCTTGAAATATCTTTCAAGATTAAGCTAATCAAAATTGTATTTAAGTTGTTCTTATATTTACCTAAGTAATAGGTGTAGGGAGGTTTATCATTTCAGTGTTGGGGTTTATATGAATGTGAAGCAAACAATTTTTTGTATGGAAACTGAAAATAAGAAAATACATAAACAGACCTTTGTTTACCTTTACTTGTGTCCAAATAAGTTGGACAATCAATCCACACATTAAATTCTGTAAATAAAAGCTACCTTTCACTGATTTTTTAATTTCAAAAAGATGTATTAAATCCTGGAGAAAATCACCTTTTACCTTTAAAATGGTATGCTTGGAATATGCTACAGGATCTTGAAAATATGAAATTTTACATTTGAGAATTTTATCATTGAGAAGTAGGAGATCAGAAACTACACTTGCTTTAGGCCAGACATTCTAATTTCACAAATATAACTGAACTTTCTTTCCCTATGAGAACTATCTACATTTTTTTAAAAGATTTATTTATTTGTACATACAGAACTGGGGTACAGGCCAGAGGCTCAGGGGTGGCGAGAGGCTTCACCAGAGACAGAGTGGGGAGCAGAACAGGCAGATTTATAAAGTACACTGCTGAGGGGAGCGGCGGGTGGGTCAGGAGAGGTCTGCCATGCCATGTGGTCACCTCCGGGGCAGGCGGGAATCGAACTCTTGCGGAAGTGGCTTTAGCTTCTCAGTGCTGTGTTTTAACCCGCTGCGCCACCAGGGAGGGTCAAGAACTATCTACTTTTTAAAAAATAAATACAGATAGTTTCCATTTTTTAAATATTGTGGTAAAAATACATGCAACATAAAATGGATCAGTTGTGCAGTTCGGTAGCATTGAGTATACTGACCAGGTTGTACAACCCTCACCACCATGAATCTTCAGGCCTCTTCATCTTCCCAGATGGAAACTCCAGGACCCTTGAGCACTAAGCCCCCACTCCTTACCCCCAGCCCCTGGTAACTATCCAACACTTTGTTTCTCTGAATTTGATAGTTTGTGGGCACCTCATGTAGCTTAATCACTCAACACTTGTCCTGTGTCAGCCCATTTCAAATAGCACTGTCTTTAAGGAGACTGAACTAACTTTTAGAGACTCAGGCTCCCTGCGGCTCCATGACACCTCAGTGTCATGGTCCACTTTAGAGTGTGCTACTTACGTGGGGCACTAGTATCAACAGAGCTATTCCGGAAGAAGACCTGGCAGGGCTGGGACATTAGGAGATTTTTTTCCTCCATCCTGAGAGTAAACCAAACACAGACTGACTTTAGTTCATTGGAACAGCTTTCAGAGGAATTTACTGGAAAAAAAATCAAGGTGCAAGGTGAAGTAGACTATCTCCCTCATATTTTGCAAACTGTTCATATACTTAGAATAAAGTGAATATTATCTAGACACTCTCAGCATGATGCTCCTTCTGAAATAGCATTGTGTCATAGTATTTCTTTTGAACAGCTCTCTATCATTTTCCAAAGAGTTAAACTGAACAATAGTGGCCTGTCAGCTCTCTGGCTTCCCAGAGAGCACCTTAGAGATTTTATGGTGTGTATTTTTAAATATTTGTTCCAACATTTGTTCCTACTGGCTGTACTGGTTTCAGGACTCTTGATGGTATGTGTCAGGAGAGGTCAGCTATAAGCATGAGAGAGACCTTCTGCAGATCCCGCTGGAAATCCAAGTATAAGTACTTTTTAAATTTTTGATTTAATTAATTTAATTACAGAGTTACGATTAAAGAAAACAAAAAGTAAGTATACAATGAAAAGGTTTTTTTCAATCAACACTATAAAAAAACTATAGCAGTCCTACCTTTGATTGCAGGGAGACATCTACTCTATTTACTGTTTAGAATACCTTTTTATTTTTTATATTTATTTATGCATACAGAACTGGGGTACAGACCACAGGTGCAGGGGCAGTGAGAGGCTTCACCAGAGACAAAGTGGGGAGCAAAATAGGCAGATCAACAAAGTACACTCCTGAGGGGAGTAGTGGGCCGGTCAGGAGAGGTCTGCCACGCCATATTATCTCCCAGGGCAGGGATTGAACTTGTGCCGAACTAGCTTTAGCTTCATTGTGCTGTGCTTTAACACACTGCGCCACTAGGAAGGGCCTGCAATGCTTTCTTAATTCACATAAAAATTTTCAAGGCAAGATGTCTTGGGATTTATCTCTCCACTTGAGATCCCAAGGTTTTGGGTGCTTGAGATAGAGCATCAAGGCCTTCCCTGCCTTAGGGAGAAGCTCTGACCTTGTGAAATGTCTCCTGGTTGTGGTCCCACACCAGGAATGGGGCTTTTGGCAAGACTATGTCTCGTTGTCTGCTATCCTTCTCTATAGGACCCCTTTATCTAAATTGCTCAACTTATTTTCAGAGGGAAATTTTTCATATCTTGCTGTAAATTCTGTATGTCCATGGGAAGAAGTGAGATGAGGATCTCAAAGCCCCTTATATTGGGCCTGCCCCTCATGTTTTTATTTTTAATCTTTCTTTTGATTATCTCCTTAATACTTTGGTTACTTAGAGCATGTTTTTATATCTTTACATATCTGCAATTCTTTTTTTCAGTTTTATTTACTTCTAAGTTCAAACGATTGCAATCATAAAAGATGCTTGATGCAATTTTAATCTTTTTAAATTTACAGTCTAACACATAACATATAGTCTAGCATATGATCTGTTTTGGAAAATGTGTGCTTGAGAAGAAAGTGTCTTCTGGAAGTGTTGGGTGCAGTGGGGCTTCACTTGTATGTGATGACCTTCTTTTATTTTGCTGCCTTCAAGATTATCTTTGGCTTTGACTGTTGTATTAGATATTATGGTGAAGTTGTCTTTGGATTTTATGTGGTCAGGAAACTTTTAATTTCATATACCTCGCTGTGTGGACATGCATATTTTATTTTCTCTTAGATAAGTACTGAGAAATAGAGATGTTGGATCATACAACATATATTTATTTAAAGTATTAGAAATGATCATTTATTCAAAGGATTGTACAAAAGTTCTAGGTGCTCTATATCTTCACCAAAACTTGCTGCAGTGATTACAAAATACTCAGTACTTCATATTTAACTGGTACGTAAAGTATTGATTAATTACCCCACTCATTTACTTTATATTTGTTTGTGCTTGCAACCTTGCTGCTCCCTACATTTATTAAAATGTGCCTTTTGCTTCCGTTCCCAGGCCATATTATCACTTGTTTTTTGACCCTTTTCTCCATGCTTAAGAAAGTACAAAAATGTAGCAGGCATTCAGTATACTTTGAAGAGTGATTATTTGCTTTATAATTTCTACATAAATACCCCAGATTCAATACCCCACTCAGAACTTCCATGCTGAGGCTTCATGGAAAACCCTAGAATAAAAGTGTTATTACTGAGGAACAAGGATCCCAAGATAATGCCCAGGTGTGTCAGAAAATCAAAAGTTATCCATTTCTGGATATAGTTGGGTGTAGAGATTGAAAATATTAATAACCATTTGATTCCTGTAAACCTCTGACATTCCTGGCAGTTAGCCTGCTCTTCTTCTTTGTTTTTTTTTAAAGATTTATTTATTTATTCATATAGAACTGGGGCACAGGCCAGAGATGCGGAGGGTGAGAGGATTCACCACAGACAGAGCGGGGAGCAGAACAGGCAGATCAACGAAGTACACTGCTGAGGGGAGCAGCGGGCGGGTCAGGAGAGGTCTGCCACGCCATGTGGATCTCCTCCGGGGCAGGCGGGGATCAAACTCATATGGAAGTGGCTTTAGCTTCCTAGTGCTGTGCTTTAACCCGCTGTGCCACCAAGGAGGGCCTAGCCTGCTCTTCTTTAAGGACATCAAAAAAGGATAATGGTAATGAGGCAGCAACGGCAACAACAAACATTGTTTTCTTCCCAGGCAGCAGCAGAAAAGGAACAACTCAAATCTTAAAGAAACCCTGATCCTTTCTTCTGCAATACAACACCATCTCCTCCTATGCCCACTGTTTTATCTGGACAAGTGCATGGGAAAGACAGAGAGAACTTCATGTTCCAAATCTTTGTGCAAAAATTTCTAAATCTTTGTGGAAAGCAAATTAACAGATTCTGTGGCCAATAGTAGATAAGTGTGGCTGTGTTTCAGCCACCAGAGGTGTTTGAAAATAAAGTTAGTGTGCATAAGCCTAATACTCTCTAGCTTTGGAGTGTTGGCAAGAGGTCCTGTGAAAAAAGACAAAAAGCTTTCTTTAAAAACATGTTAGGTGAAATGGAAACTACCTTTTCAAAATGAGGCATTTCCAAAAGTATTTTGATAACTGACATTAGAAAAGAAATCCCTAATTGTCTCAAGCTGTTTATATACATGTGCATATGTGTTTGTATGTACGTACATCTGTGTGTATATGGAGTGTGCACATGTGTTGTGTCTGTGAAGGAACAGAGTGTGTAGGACACTGGAGACCATTGAGTGGTGCTTTCTCTGAGTAAGAGTGTGGTTATGGGAAGTAGATAGCAGGGGGTGATATGATCTAGTTCAATTTGTTAAAACCTCCTTCCTCTGGCTGCTGTATGGAAGGATGAACACAGGAGACAAATAATTTGAGATTATGATTAGTGCTCTAATTCTCCATTTGCTTTGAAATAGGAATAATAGGATTTTTTGAAACATGATTTTTTAGGTGTTACTTGAGGAGCAAAAGGAAATGAGGATTTTGTTAGGGGGAATGGATGTCTTGAATGAATGCTACAGCTACAGGTTTGTGGACTCCACCCCCTACTCCAGTCATTGAAACTACAACTCCCAGCAACATTAAAGGGAGGATAGCAAAGACCCAAGGGCGGAGCTAAGCAGCCATTTTGGGACTTCTGGGATATATATACAGGAGCCATATTAAGCTGAGACGCTCTCTTCCCCTTGGCCTTATGGCTGGTGACTGGTGACTTGGCTCTTGATCGGCTTTCAGTGTGCTCTTGGGGTTCCAAGTCAGTGGAACTGATAGGACACGCTAGTTAACCTGTATCTCTCTTTCCCTGGGTTGTTCCTTTTCTTTCCCTTTGTAAATAAACCCATTATTGACCCTCTTTGTGTGTGTTTGCAGTACAGTTGAATCTTAAGCATGCGGGTGAGGACCCACAAACAGGCAACCCAGTTCCCATTGGGTTGCCCTGTATCAGATTTTGATTTGAGAATCTAGACAAATGAAGTTGCCATCTGAATGTAAGATTATAGGAGAATTGGCATGGTAAAATTGCAGCTGCACTGTTCACTGTTAGGCATTCAAAGCTCAAGATGCCTGATTGGCATGCCTTTAATAAACCTAGGAAATCTTAGAGGATAGGGAAGTGTCTGGAAGGGAAGTGTGGAAAGAAAAACAGGATAATGGGTCCTTTAAAAAACCAGAGTAGAGTCCTCACCTCTTGCTGAATATTTTAGGAACATCACTTTGTTGAACTCTGCTACTTTCCATCTTCCGAACTTCCTCTAGAAAACTTTTGCTGATAGTATTTTCAATCCTGTATCACATGAGAAAAACAGGAAGAACACAACACAGGAATGTTACACACTTTAAATATTAGATTTCTTTAAGTATTAATTTAATACTTAAATATTAATTTAATAAGTATAGATTAATACTTTGAGTATTAGATGTCTTCCTTCTTGGATGATGGTTAGTCAGCCCCTGTTTACAAGCAGTGCAGCATGTCCAGTCTTCACAAAATACCCAGACTCTACATTCCTGGCAGCTGGGAAGCATTACCAGAGGGATGCAGCAATGTTTTAGCTGTTAGCCAAACACTGCTGACTTCCTGCAAAGCTGAGAACTCTGGATGTGTCTAAGCTGCAGAGGACCTAACTCTGGAGGAGTCGGTCTCTGCAACCCCCAGCTAGACAAGTAGATTGAAAATTCATAGAACTGAAATAGGTTGAAAAGTTTTTCTACTAGGGTCATCGTTTCAGGCTCTTAATGCTTAAATTCTCATTGAGGTGTGATACCTCCAGTCCTTACTTCAATAACATCTAGGGCTAGTTGTGTCATTTATAGCCATGTAAAGCAACTATAGTGGCAGTGTCTCTGTAGTTCATGTATCAGGTGATACCAGCTCTGGACCTCAAATGTACGAGGCTGCCCAAACAAATACTCTCTGCTTCTGTGGCAGTTTTCATTGGGATGCACATCTATATTCAGCTATTTATCATTCATCTGCTCATGCATTCTTTAAATTTCTTTCTGAAGTCACTTTTGGACGCCAAAGCAAAAACAATGTCTCTGTTCTTATTAAGCTTCCAAGATAGAAGGTGAGAAGCTAGACGTCAGACAAGTAAGCCACTGAGTAATGTTGGATAAGAACAGGTGTGATGAAAGATCCATGTAGCACCGTAATGGCATGAGGCAGAGGTGTAAGCTTCTCACGGGCATCAGCAAAGCTCCTCTGAGGAAGTGGAGTTTGAGCTGGGATAATGGAGAGTAGGCAGTAACTAGAGGAGAGTGGGACAGAGCATTCCATCCAGGGGAAACCTTATATACAAAAGCCCTGTGGAGGGAGAAGTGAAGTTAGCATGTCCTGAAAGAGACCGGAGATGGGTCTTTTTCCCCCAGCACCATCCCTTATATTCTCTTATCTTTTGCCTCCCTCCTCACTCTTAACCTCCGCATCCTTGCTGTATTTGATGTCCACCAGTTTTATTGATGTCCACCAGTTTTAGAAAGTATTATATGTTATAGAATTGCGTGCTTTGTAAATGTCCTGTATTTTTTGGTCATTATTACTTGCTCTACTATACAAAATTCCCTTACACTCCCATTTTGTTGGAAGGGACTGCATTTTTCCTTTCTTACAGCTGAATAGTATTCCATAGTGCGATTATACCACATTTTCTTGATCCAGTTGTCTACTGCTGGACATTTAGGCTGCTTCCATGTCCTAACAGTTGTAAATAATGCTACTAGGAACACTGTGGGACATGCTTTGTGTGTGCTTCATATTCATTGTATAGAAGTCAAAGAGTGGGATTTCTGGCTCATAAATATTTCCATTTTTTTTTAAGTAAAATTCCATTTGCTTTCCATAATAGTTGCACCAGCTTACATTTTCACCCATGGTTGTAATGATGTTCCTCTTTCTCCACATTTTCCCAAGTTATTGGGAGTCTTTTTAATATTTGTCATGCTTATGGGCATGGGAAGGTAACTCATTGTAGTTTTAACATGAATCTCTTCTTTGAAGTAAAAAAATGAACATTTTTTGTCATTAGCCTGTTGGCCTCTGTTAGCCTTCTTAATATCCTCTTTGGTGAGTTATCTGTTCACATCTTGCCAATTATTGATTGAGTTCTTCTTTAGCTATCTTGGGTATTAATCTCTGATAAGTTTTGTATTGTGCAACTAAATTCTACCATCAAATAAGGTGTTTTTATTAAACTTCTTGAGTTTTCTTTCACTGTATAAAAGCATTTTTAACTTCAAATAATCCCAACAATTTACTTTTGTTTTTCCTTGCCATTGGGGTTGACTCACCAAAAACATTTTTATCATTACTGTTATAGATCATCACTGTTTTCATCTATATATTTCATTGTTGCAGGTCTTATATGTAAATCTTTAATTCACTTGGAATATATTTATATTTATATATGGAGTTAGTGAGTAACCCAACTTCTTTAATATGTGACTTTCCAGTTTTCCCAGCACTATTTATGACATAGACTGTCCTTTCATTTATAGCTGCTTTATCATAGACTAGGTGCTGCTATATAAGTGGATTTATTTCTAGGTTTTGATTATATTACATTTCTCCATGTATCTATTTTTGTGCCAATACCATGTTGTTTTTAGTACTGTTGTTGTTAGTAAAGTTTGAAGTTGAGTAACATACCTCCATTTCTCTCTTTTTTTCCCTCAGGGCTGCTTTTGTAATTGGTGTCCTTCTGTGGCTTCATATAAATTTCAATATTCTTGCTCAAATTTCTTTGAAAAACATTGCTCATATTTTGAAGTGGATTATGTGAAATGTATCATCTTCGTTAGGACGGTAATGTTGATTATATTTGTTCTGTCCCCATCCCTGTATGACTTGGTTCTATAAATCCTTTAATATCTTGTAGTTCTTACTGTATACTCCTTAGCTAGGTTCTTCTAAGTTACTGAATTCTTTTTGAAGCCATTATAAATGGAGATAATACAAGCACTATTAATTCTGAGACACCTGTTTTAACTCACCCCTTCAGAATTTATTCTTATTCCAAAGAGCAAAAGTTACATTTTCCCTTTCTCCTCCCAAATAAAATTTGTTTAGATAAAGGAGCAGAGTCACTCTCCTTTTCCAGAAGGAAAAAGTAAATAGCTGCTTTAATACTGCATAAATCCCAGATTCAAACCTTTGGGGTTCCCCTCCTAAGATACAGCATTGCAGGCATGTCCACCCATCACTTGTAGCAGCCCAGAAGGGGGAAACTAGTGTGGCTGTTGTTATAGGTATTTGACATTAGCCTGTCTCTGCCCTGGAACTTAATGTGTATGTACTTTCAGGATAACATGGACAAATACAGATTTTTTAGGACTCCACTGTACTTTCCCTTAACCTTTCATTGTTGACTTGGATGTGTTAATAGCAGTATGCAGGGTTCTTCTAAAGACTTAAGTCTTCCATTTTGAAGTCTAAAAATAATTATCTTGGCTTGGAGATATAGACAAATTAAGGAAGAATTGGGCATTGGGGCAAAGTTTCTATCTTAGAATATGCTGCTATCTGCTACCTGGAATTTTATTAATATTTTTGAATTTATTATAAATTCATATTATAAGTGAATTGTTGTTATAGTCATATTATATTGTTTTATATTCTACTAAATTATTTCAGTTTTTTAAATCTTGTAATTTCATGGGTTCTTTGCCTTTAAAAATTAGGGATTTCAACTATCATATTTTAAGGCTTTTGTTCTGTTAGATTTAGCAAAACTCCAGATCTTCTAACCTATTTATTTAAATATTTTTGAAAAACTATAGTTAACTCCAAACTTTTCTGAAAAAGTGATGAGTGACTTTTCTTGGAATATCTCCCTACTGTAACTTACTCTACAGTTAGGTTTTAATTGCTGGTCCTCTGGGATCAGGTTTTGACTCCTGTTACATTAGTGAAGAGTTATTTAAGGCATATTCTGAAGAGTGTAAAAATGAACATAAAACCATGCAAAGCTGGGGAGAGATCACAGTGTGTGGATCCTCACACATGTGTTTACACTTGCAATAGATGTCTCAGGCTCATGGTATAACAAGGGGGCGATTAACAAGGGAAATTTTGGGAAAGGAGCGTTTAAGGCCTCAAATGGCTGAGTTTCCTACCGCAGACAGTGTCTGCAGTGTCCAGCAGTCCAAAGCAAAGTTTGTTTGTGCAAGATGGCATTGTCCCTTCAGTGAGAGTCTAGAGCTGGTAGCACGCCAATGGGCCATTGATCACAATCTAACTCATGGTGGCACCTGGTGGTGATCACAGGTAGTGCTACTGAGGTACAGGTTACTCTGCTACACCTATGCAGAGGCTGGGGTGGGCAGCACCAGATACCAGGCTAGCTGGCATGAGAGGCAACACCACCAGGGGGTAATATCAGAGGACCAGAAGATGCCAGGCATACGCCAAAGGCAGACAGCTCTTCTAGAGACACTGGGTGGAGGCCAACATGCCAGTCAGTAGGCAATGTTGGAGGCAGGGCCAGAGGCAGGAGCATGGTCATGCTGAAGTCTGATGTGGAGATCAGGTACAATGTTCTTGGAGATCTGCAGCGGTCACAAGGTCGGGTAGGTCTGTGAAGATCTGAGCTTGCAATAATGTGTTTAAAGCCCTCTGAAACTTTATCTTATATTGTCTTCAGAGTACCTGCCTTTCAAACCTGATGGGTCCATTTACAATTCCAGTTCCATTTGATAGGTGCCAGCTACACTCATATTTGATTGGTCCTTTTCCAGATCCTGAATGGTCTCAAAACCTTAAATGGCTCTATAGAACCTGATTTGGTCTGTTTTCAATTCATCATGGGATTCAAAACTTAAACCCTGACCTGAATGTCCAAACCCAAGCCCAACCTGCCTTGAGGGTTCCATTTGGCAGTGGGCCCTGTAGAAGAGGCAGACATAGTGGTGCGCTCAGGGGACCCTACCTCACTCAGAGCCAAGCATACAGCACATCTGCTGCTGAGGTGGGGCCCCAGTGACTGGATTCTCACTCAAGTAGCCCAAGCATGGGCTGCCATGGAGTGGGTGTGGTTACTGCCATCAGAGCCAGGGGCTGGCTCACAGGCTGTGCACTGATCTGGGCCCACAAGGTGCTCTCCAGCTCACAAACCCAGCTGCTAAGGCAGCCTTAGCATAATTGGTCATGCACAGTAGCAGCACTGGCCACAGGACAGTCTGTTACACTCTTCAAAAAGTGTCATGAAACTGCTGGTAGTGGACCTCGCTTTAGAAAATAATGAAACTGTCACATTTCTATCTTTTGCATTTAATTTTTTATCTTTTTCTAAATTGACTACTGGTCAATTTACTAAATTTACTCCCTTTGAAATTCCCGTGACTTTTAATACTCCTAAAGTAGCACTTAGTTTAATTTGAGACATGTAATTAGAAGAGTAATTAACCATGACAGTATACATTTTGGTTACCACTTCACTTTTCAACTTACATTTTCATTAATACATTTTGAATTAGGCATGTAGTGGGGACTATGAGAAAACCCAGCCAGAAGTGTGGACAAACCATGATCACAGTGACCTGCATATAAACATAAAAAAAAGAATATTTAAATAAGAGTCAATTTGTTAATAGAATACAAAATACTTTTTTACTTTGACATTCACAAAAATCTGGAGATGTCAGAAGTATGAATATAGTCACATGAATCTAGAACTACTAAATGAACATAAGTGCATGAATCCTAAATACAGTATTAGCTAGTTTAATTTGATAGTATTATCTACCAACTACCATAATGTTTTGTTCAGAAATGTTTTATGCCACCATAAAAATATTCAAAATAATCAATTCTAGCCTTTCCTGAATCCCATTAAATACATGAGCTCAGTGATCTCCCTGTTCCTGTCTTCTGCCTCCTGCACCCTGTTATCTTCTCCATATGACCCTGCATGGCAGCAAGCGAGTCTGTATCCATCAGTAATTATGTAAATGAAGTGGATTAAATATCCAATCAGAAGTAGGTCCAACAATATGACACTTGTAGGAAGCACATTTTGCCTTTAAGGGTACACAGAGGCTGAAAATGATGATGGAGAAAAGATATTACATGCAAATGAGAACCAAAAAGGAGCACACGTGGCTATGCCTAGAGCAGATAAAATAAATATTTAGTCAAAATTGCTCACAAGAGACAAAGAAAGTCTCCCTATATGTTAAAGGGTTAATTCATCACGAGGATATAAAATTTATTCACACCTAACTTTGAAGCACTGCATATTTCAACCAAATATTAACAGGACTGAGGAGAGAAATAAGCAGCGATATAGCAATAGTAGACAAGTACAATACTCTACTTTCATTCCAGAGAGAAAATAAATAAGGATGAAACTAATATGACTAACACCACAGCTCAAATGAACTTTATGGACATACAGAAAGAACATTCCATCTAATAACACCAGGAAATACATGTCTTGTAAATGCATACAGAACATCCTATACGATGGGATATAAAGTAAACCTTAACAAACTTAAGAAAATTGAAATAAATTACTTTTTTTTCAAACTGAGTGGTGTTAAAATAGAAATAATAGCATGAGGAAAGCTGGAACAAAATAGCAGTTAAACAACATAGTCCTATTTTTGTTTTACCTCCTTTGCCATTCGTGTTAGATACCCAAAGGCATCTCTATGCCTAATGTCACTGAAATTAGTGCCTATATTTTCTTTAGTGTATTTTTTCTTCAAATCAGTTTTATGTATAATATTCATTCATTCTTTTGCATGTAGAAATGCAAATTTTCCAACACATTGATTGAAGAGGCTCCTTGTTTCATTGCATGGTCTTTGCTCATCTGTCATACATAGACTAGTTGTCCATGTATGTGTGAGTTTATTTCTATACTCTTAATTCTATTCCATTGGTCTCTGTGACTTATTTTGTTTCACTAGCACTTGGTTTTAATTATTATGTCTTTATAGCTTGAAGTGGAGGTATAGTACTTCCGTTCCCCCACCTTCATCCCCTTTTTTTTAAAGAGAGTGTTGGCTATTTGGGATCTTTTGTGGACCATGTGAATTTCAGTAATATTTGGCCCATTTCTTTGTAGAATGCCATTGACATTTTTATTGGGATTGCACTGAATCTCTAAATTGCTTTATAGAATGACCGTTTTGACAATGGTGATTCTTCCAATCCATGAGCAGGTAATCTCTTTCCATTTCTTTGTATTTCTTCTACTTCTTTTAACAACATTTTATTGTTTTCCTGGATAGGTCCTTTACCCCCTTTAAGTTTATTTCTATATTTTTAAAATTTGGTGTAGTTATAATTTGGATGATTTTCTTAATTTCTTCTTATTTTAGCTCATTATAACATTTTTTTTAAATGTAATAACCTATTGCTAACTTGCAGCTAATGTTGGGAGTACACACATAAAAGAGAAACAAGAAAAGTGTGGTTAGGAGAGTGGAGATTTGTACTTAGCAATTGGGAGTCCAGGTTAGTCAACCAATTGGGAGTTCCTTGAGTTGGGGTTTGTCCTAGAGGTCTGTACTCATCCCTCGCCTCTCATAGCAAACAGAAGAAGACCTTTCCTTTACCTTTCTTTGATTATTTTCCTCCCCCTTCTCTGAGGAAAGGAAGTGTCTCCTCAGAGAGAGCAGCTGGTCCCTCAACTGTAGACGGTGTGGTCGAGCAAATCATCCATTCACTAGCATTTACCATGACCTCCTCTCCAAGAAAGGTTGTGCTGATTTGTTTCTGGATCAGTCAGCACCTTCTCTGCCTTCACTGCCCCTTCCAGAACCCTCACTCACTCTGCTGTCTCCTCCATGGTCCAGGCCACCAACTTTTGGGTGCATAGATGGATATATATCTTGGGTGTCTGTATACAGTATACTGCTTTTCTGTTTGTTTATGGGTAGTCTGTTTATTGTAAATCAAAAGGGAGAGGGAGATGAATGACTCATGATATTTATTCATGAATGTGTGCACATAACTTTCATTCTGAAACTCAATTTATGCTTAAAATATTCCTAAAAATTATTCTGATTTAAGACAACATTTGCAACAACATAAGTAATCTTTCCTATAATAAGGAACAAAATCCACTTATTACCATTCCCTTAATATAATTCCTACTTCAGTGTGTTTATGAATTAAGTTTCATTTAAAAATTTCATTGTTGCATCTTATCAAGTCATAATTGTCATTCAATATAGCATACTCATGTGAACAACTTAATATGTTGTTTTCATATTATGTTATATGGCTCCTAATGTTGTCCATTTTGCTTATTGATTTTTTTTCTTTGACAAATATATTATTTAGTCTTGTGCCAGTTTAATCTCAACTCCTGGGCTCACTCTCAAAACAGTGTATGAAGAATCAAGCGGAAACTTGGCATCCACTTTTGGAGAGACAGAGGCTAGCATTTAAGCCTTACCATATTCGAGGCCTTGGTAAAAAAATCAGTGTATTCTCAGAAAAATTATGTCTTGGGAGTAAATGCTTCAAATTAGAAGAAAGTACTGCACACCTTTGGAATAATCCCCACAATTATTAAGGACCAAACAAAACTTCAAACCAATCCCGACCCCATCGAAGTATTTGGTGAGATCTTCTGCCTCTTAGTTGCCACATCTCAAGGATTCTGTACCACAAGTGCAGGCATTTCAGCAGTCTGGGACTCTGAATTCTACTTCTTCCTCTCAGTACAATCACTTTTGGCTCCTTCCCTTGTACTGCAAACAGAAATACCCTAGGGGAGGGGTTAAGATAAACAAGGTAGGGGAAAGTGCTTCCCTTCTTTAACAAATGGTACCTGCTCTTGATTTCTAGTCAATGGCTTCAAGCAATTCTTTACTTACATTCAGTTTTTATAGTTGTTTTGTTTGTTTTCTTCAAGCTATTCTAATACCAGCCACTCAGTTATGGCTGAAATAGAACTCCTTCACTATTCTCATTTCCTGGACTTTGAACTGCCCCAGGCCTGAGGGTGCACAGGTAGTCTCCCATTTCTGCAGATAGCCGAGGAATGTACAGGATGGCTTGTGGTGAGCAGGTGGCAAGGACTGAACTGAACTACTCTAGACTTTCTTCAATTGGTAACATTATATTTGGAACAAGCCTACCACAGTTCCTAAAATAATCTAATTTAGTGATCCATTTTGTCAGCATTTTGGGCCAGCTCCCACAATAGATACAGACAAAGTAGAATTTGGAAATAAGTAAATAAGTATAATCTAAAAATTATATAATCTTTGAGGTTTAACATAACAAACAACAGCTTCCATGCAATGTTAAAATATTGAGAAGCTAAAACTTTGGTAGCTCTGAGAACTACCAAAGTCTTAATTATCACGTATGCATTATCAAATACCATAAAATATAATCATATAACCCACTACATGAAAAAATATAAATATAAAATTAACTATTTTAGATAATTCTAAATTTCTGAAAGGGTAAGGTTAATGCAGTTTGAAGATGAGATTTTGGATGAATGATAGAACTAAAATATCAATGCAAATTTCATTGAATAACCAAGTATTTTCTAACTGCATTTTTTCTGTTTTTTCCCAATTTGTTTGAAAATAGGTAGCATCATCAGTTGGTTTGTTAGTGAACATAAATTTTCGTGAGAAAGTAGAGTACACTTACCAGTGACAGTAAAACTAACCTGTCTTGTCATATCAGGAGCAATAGGAATGGTAGGCCAAAAGAAACAGTAAATTGCAAAAAATACCAGCCATATCACCATGCTGCCCCAAATTGCCAAATGACTAAACTGCAAAAAAGAAAAATATCACAGGAACACTTCAATCTTAAAATATAACTACCAGTCAACTAACAAACTATATGATGTCTAGGACATTCTTGATGGAAAATTATTGTTAATCTTTCAATTTCTTGATAGATTTATTCAATTTCAGGCTCCTTTAAAGAAAATACTGTTGGACCAGAAATCATTAAGAAGGCTGTGAATTTCAACTTATTCTGTGTGAATTCTGGGACACTGGTACAAGTTGGATTTCTAGACTGATTGAAACAGAAGGATTTTCTATTTCTATCAACTCTGTGTGTCATTCTGGTTGAGGCTGTTGACTGGAGGATCACTGTGCAGGGCTAGTGAATTTGTACCAAACTCTTTAATGGTAAATGCCAAGGAGAGAGAGATCGTCCTGTTGATCTGATCAGCTGTTTGTACAGTTTGTGTTGGCAAAGGAATGCTAAGGAAAATGACTAGGAGACTGAGGTTCTCAACATGCCTCTGCTGGGGGTGCTGCCTGCCCACAGGTCTCAGGTCTATCATCTGCGTATGAGGAAGTTGTTAGCTACAAGACATTACTTATTAAAGGCTCAAGTGTGCTCACCTTACTAGGTACAGCTCATCACTAATCATATCTGAACAACAAAAACAAGGGGAAAAAAACCACAATCTGCTACTTCTCAGAGTAATTATTGTTATTTTTTTAATGAGTCATCAGAAAGGTAATCTCTTTAATGATTTCTCTGATGAAAAGGATCCAGTCTCATCAGGACTTTCTCTTGTGATCAACAGATGATGAAAAGAACCAGATCAAAACTTGTAACTTTTCAAACACTGCAGTCCATTTTCATGTAATTTTTCCCTTGTAGTGAACCTTAGTACATTAGCTGCAAAATATTTCTCAAAGCAGGAACAGTGGCTTGTGACTGTCCCTAAGAAAATGGACTCAACCAGTACCCATCTTTAAGCCATACAAACAAAAAGCCTCTCATTGCATTTCATGTATGTGTGAAAAATAAAGTGACCGATAAACCAAGTTTAAAACAAACCAGCTGACTGTAGAAATGTGTCTATCAGAAAGAGAGGGAAAGAGAGAAGTTCTAACGAAGTGGGAGTGGGCTGTGATAGTGGAGGATTGTGGGTGCCTGAGGGATAGCTGTGGTGTGAACATAAATATGAATGCAGTGATCCGACACTCTAAATCATATACAGTCTTATAAGCCAATCTTACCACAATTTTAAAAAAGTTACAATTAACTGTCAGTTAGTATTGTTCAGGGGTTCTATATTCTATCAGCTACCAGTTAGAAATAGAAGCTCTGAACAATACGATCACACCTTAAAATTATTGTTAATAATTCTCGACATTTTACAACTAAATATAAATAATTCATCTTTAAAAATCAGCATAAAGCAATTATCTGAATTAAGGAAATACCCAAATATCCTGAAGCATACTCACTTTATTCCAAGACAGTGTCTCCAAACCAGCTTTCAGACAAACAGTAACTATTACATACTGTGTGAGGTAAGATGGTAAAGGGAAAACAGATTGGAAAAAATGATCAAAAATTAGGATACAAACCCCACCTTTTTTACTCCTCCCTACCATACACACAGACACACACACACACACTCACTCCCATGTCTGGTGAACTCTCATGGCCTTAATTATAATTGGAGGGAGAATGTAGGTTTTCAAAAGATATTCTGGATTTAGAAGTTTATTAACATGTGAGGAATCCAAGCTTATAAGTTCTTATAAACAGTTGAGCAGAGTAAAGATTGAAATAGCTGAAGAGCATCTTGTCTATTTATGGCCCTTTGCATTGCTATGTTCATATTTTAGAAATGACACATCAGCCTCTAGGGCTTTTAATTGTGATTACAATAAATCTATCCATCTGAGGAGACCTGACTTCTTTCTAGTATTGAGTCTTCTAGTTAGTGACCTTGTATATTTCTCCATATAGATGTTCTTAATGTCTCTAATATATTTTTTAAATATTTATTTATGCATACAGAACTGGGGTACAGTCCAGGGGTGCTGGGCAGTGAGAGGATTCACCAGAGATAGAGTGGGGAGCACAACAGCCAGATCAATCAAGTACATTGCTGAGGGGAGCAGTGGGTGGGCCAGGAGAGGTCTGCTGTGCCATGTGGATCACCTCCGGGGCGGGGATCAAACTCATGCTGAAGTGGCCCCAGCTTCTTAGTGCTGTGCTTTAACCCGCTGCACCACCAGAGAGGGTCCTGTCTCTAATAATTTTTACAATTTTCCTCAGAGATCTTGACCATCATTTATTAGATTTTGCCTTATGTTTCTCTTATGCTTGATCATATTTTAAAATAGTAATTTTTTAATGCTCCAAATATCTGTAACTGATACACTAAAATTTAATTGATACTTAAATATTGATCAGTAATCCCTTGTATTAATTTTAATATTTTACCTGTACATTTCTTTTGGTATTTTCTATCTACATACTCAGCTATGACTTAAAACAGATTCTGTGCCTTTCCAAAGCTTAGGCTTCTTACTTTTTTTTTTTTTTTTTTGTATTGACTAGTAACTCCACTACAATGTTTAAGAGAAGTGGCAATATTGACATCTTAGTCTTATTAAGTATGACTTTTTGCAGAGTATGTTCTTATATAGCAACAGAGTGGTGCACTGAGTGTTTTAAATTCAGTTTTTGAAATTATCTTTGATGATACCTACTTCTCATGGGAATTCTAGCAAATCTCCATGTAGATAGGGAGTGGTAAAAGGTTTCCAAGCCCCTAGTAGAAAGTTTCCCCATCTATTAGTCTAAGTTCACTTTGCCAATACCTTGCCTAACACAGTTTGCATCAGGTTCCACTGGATTTTTAAATTCCCTGACAGCACCAGGGAATTATCTGGATTGAGGAAATACCCAATAATCTGAAGAATACTCACTTTATTCCAATACAGTGTTCCACCTAACAATATACTCTAGCATCTTAGTTAGGAACTGCTTGTGTATATGTATGTAATTTCTTTGCATCTCTAGAATGGATTTTCATGAGGATTTGGTTGGAGTTACATACACACACATATAAAAACAAATTATAGGACATATAAACATAACATGCATAGCTTTTAACAGTTTTTTATTCATATTAATGAATGAATAAAAATTCTATCTGATTTATTAATTCATTTTCCTGAAGCTAGAATGAGTCAAGGACTGAAGAAGTAAGAATTTTAAAATGAAGAAAAATCATACTATGTATGTGTCCAAATAAATAAGAAAATACTATCAACAGTACTTTGGTCAGAAATTTGTCATGAGAGTTAAAAGCACAACTAGTAGCTGAAATAATAGACAACCAGTAAAAGTGAAAGGTGGCTATATGCCAAGAAATTATGTCTTTAACAGAAGTCAAACAAAAATGGCCAATGGGTTTGCTATTCCAAGATACAAGCATACCTCATTTTATTGTGCTGCAACTTATTGTGTGTCATAGATGTGTTTTTTATGAAAAGAAAGTATGTGGCATCTCTGCTACTCTATAATTGGCACCATTTTTCTATATGTCCATTTTTTGTCTCTATGTCATATTTTTTTTTAAAGATTTATTTATTTATTCATACAGAACTGGGGTACAGGCCAGAGATGTGGAGGGTGAGAGGATTCACCAGAGACAGAGCGGGGAGCAGAACAGGCAGATCGATGAAGTACACTGCTGAGGGGAGCAGCGGGCGGGTCAGGAGAGGTCTGCCGCGCCATGTGGTCACCTCCGGAGCAGGCGGGGATCGAACTCATGCGGAAGTGGCTTTAGTTTCTTAGTGCTGCGCTTTAACCCGTTGCGCCACCAGGGAGGGCCTCTATGTCATATTTAATTAAGGCATGCACATTGACTTTTAGACATGATAGATGAGTTTTCAGTTAACAGAGCAGAGTATAATGTAGGCATTACTTATACACTCACTAGGAAGCCAAAAAGATTTTGTGATTTGCTCTGTTGCAATACTATGAAACTGAATAAGTAATCTCTCCCAAGTCTGCATGTATTTGTTAAATGTGAAAAAAAGATGCAGAGGAATATGTTTTTACTTGTTTACACATCTACAATATTTAGAATTATGAATAAGATTCTACCCAAAATAGAGACAGACACAAATTAGAAGCCATAAAAAAACTGATGCATTTAACTACATAAAATTGATACACAAACATATTCATGACCAAAATACCATGAAAAGTGAAAATGAGTAAATGGGAATTTACTTTTCTAACAGGTGACCAACAACCCAATAGAATAATTTGGTAAAGTAAATTAATAAGTACTTTACAGAAAAAGAAATAGAAGTACATATTCATACAAACATACTTACCCTCAAAGCAAAAACTCAATTGGATATCATTTTACCTGCTAGATCAAAAGATTGCATAAAACCACTACCCAGAGTAGTTTGGGAAACTGATATTATCACTAAATTTTACAACCTCTTGGGGGGTAATTTGGTAATGTTTTTCAAAATTAACACTACCCTTTTTTAATTAGCATTTGTACTTTTAGAAATTTATCCTACCTACATATATATTTACTCCTGGGCATAAAGTATAGCCTTTGCAGCAAGTTTTATAATGGCAAAGCATTCAGAACATTCATAATGTCCACTAATAGGATACTGGTGAAATAAACAGTGAGTTAGTTGTTCGTAGAAATGTTTTCAAAAGAATGAGGGAAAGATTTATGGAGTGATTTGAAGCTATCGCTTAGGCATGTTGTAATGTACAAATGAGAGATAGAGAAGAGCATCTCTCTGCTTGTACAGGAAAAGGGAAGAGGATATACATTTATATAAACATTTTAAATGTCTAGAAAAATATAGCCACTATAATAATTCCTTCTTTGAATAGATATTGAAACATGTGACATATTTAAAACTCATTGCTGGGAATTCAATGGATGCTTAGCTTTTATTCAAAACCACGAAACATGCAAGGATAAACTTACCGTATAAATAAAATTTCCAAGAAACAAATAGTCTGTTGTGTGACCACCTTGTAAGACCATATCTGAAAATTGAAATCAAATTTTATCCTTATACAGTGTGAAACATAGATATTTAAGTTGTTAAAAACAACTTAAAACTTATAATTTTGGTATCCCTAGCAGACACCAAAAATATTTATTATTGGACATAATTTTAAAGTGCTCTGTCACTAAAAATGCTTAACTTTGCCTGACATAAATTTAACAGTCTTCCATGCCTTACAGTCTCCAAACTGCATTAAGCAACAAATAATGCAAAAATAAATTACACAAATAAGCAAACTACAAAGAACACATGAATGTGGTTATAAAGACTAAGTCAAATGTATCTAAACCATCTAGAAGAATCTTCAAACTGAAAGCCCAGATAATACAGATTGAGGCTAGACACCAAGATAGATATTTTATTTAAATATTTTGTCATCATGTTTTTCAAGGATTACTAAAATACTAACTTGAATATGTAATCTGAAATTACAATGGAATTTCAAATTCTCTTCCACTATTGCTAAGTGTTGCTTGTGTTTTGATGTCATATCTAAGAAATGTCTGCCTAAATAAGATCCCAAAAATTATTCCTATACTTTTTTCAGAAAGTGCATCATGTCATTTTACTTTTGCTGCTTGTCATATTCTCTTTCTTTTAGTTCCAATACTTAGCTACAGTGTGCCTGGGTATAGATCTACGCATTTATCTTACTTTTAGTTCATTCATCTTCTTGGCTGTGAAAATTAATATTTTTCGCTAAATTGAAACTTTTCAGCTAATATTTCCTCAGATATTCTTTTCTCCAGGATTCATTTTTCTCCTCTTGATTTTGGTCATTACTAAGTTGGTGCATGTAAAGACTTTTCACATTTCCCTAAGGCTCTCTTCATTTTTCTTCATTTTATTTTCTGTCTGGTCTTCCAGTTGCATACTCTTCAATTTGTTTCTTCTTCCATTTCAAATTTACTGTTGTCTTCTAACAAATCATTCAATCAGATTATTTTATTTTTAAATTCCAGACTTTTCATTTGGTTCTGTATTATTATTTCTATGTCTTTATTGATTATCTCTATTTGCTATGACGTTAACTTCAATTGTATGAATGCTTTCCTTTAATTTTTTGAATGTATTTATAAAGACAACTTTGAACTGTTAAATTTGATATCTGGACCCTCTCACAGTCAGTTTTTGTTGGCTATATATTTTTCCCACTTATATGTTACATGGTCCTGTTTCTTTGCATGCCTTTACTTATTGTTGATTATTGGAAATTTCACATAATATGTTATAGGTCCTCTTGATACACATACCCTTTCCCACAAAGTCTTGTTATTTATGTTTATTTAACTGTTTTGTGGATTGGGTAGGCTATTTATTTCCCTCCTATTTTTTCCTTTTGGATAATTTCCAGAAAAGTTAGAGTTGTGTTTTTATAGTTTTAGCTATGTATGAATAATGGGTGAGGAGTAAGACCATGGACCTCTTCAGACTGCTATCCTAGAAGTAGAACTAACTTTCATCAACTTTTATTTTTCTTTATGTGTTCTTGGCACCTGAATGTTTTATTCATATTTTACAGGGTAGAACTTTATCAGTGTTATGAGACGGTCATTCTTTTAAGTACATAAACAAATGCACTCTACTAAATTTTAAAAATATATATAAAAGACATGTTGCTTAGTAATACTTGATAAAAATTAAATTTTGTTAAGGAAAATAAATTACACCTTCATTTGTGCTTGTGAATCCATTCTATACCAATAATATACCTCATAAACATGTCTTAGCCTTCTGGATTATTAGACCAGAAGTTGCCAGTTTTGAGAAAAACTTCATGTATAATAATTTTTAAAAGCTGTATGTCAGGAGAGAAAAAGACTAATAATAAAGTATAAGGTTCAATTTATGATATTGTTAGCCAGGTATTACGGTCTAAACTGAAGCATGAAGTTTGGGAAGTAATAACAAGAACTAATGTATGCATAAATTTCACTCTCATTAACAGGAACCATTGGAAATTTATGGGAGTTGTTGAGTTATTATTCAGATTTTGAATAAGAAAACATAACATTAATTCTCTATACATGACAGCAGCTGAAAGAATGTTCAGACTACAATCTGCTAACTAGATCAATCCTTAGTATTAATTTTTTGTTTCTAAATTCTTTTCCTTCATCTCTTTCTATAGACACACACACCACTCTCACATATGTAGAAACATTAGCTGCAGTGAGAATAACAATTCTTGGCTGAGTTGTTGAAACAATGAAATGATTACCATGCTGCAGCATCTTTGCAGGCAACCAGAAGAGAATGCAGGAGTGAAACAAAGCATTTATGCATTCAACCCAAAACACCTGAAAGGAAACAAAACAAAGTCAAGATGTTGCCTTAGTCTAAACCGAAAAAAGTTATATTCTGAAGTATATTTGACTTTGCAGTATACAATGTTAAATTAAAATGCTTTCCAAGATATTGAAAATTTTCATTTCCCTATTCTAATTTTAAAAAAAGTGATTACACATTTATAGGATAGTGTTATTTTAAAAACACTTATTAAATATGATTTTATGGAATTCAAATATATTTGTTTCATATTGTAAAAATCTATCCAGAAAAAAAGAATCAAAAATAATTTTAAGAGAAATAATAAACATCTCAACCTTTAACTTCTAGTACTTTAAACATAATTTCACACTACATTTCTTCTTCTTTAAATTTATTTATTTATGCATACAAGAGCTGGGGTATAGGCCAGAGGTGGGAGGGGGTAACAGGTATCACCAGAGACAGAGTGGGGAGCAGAACAGGCAGACTGACTGAAATACACTGCTGAGGAGAGCAGCGGGCGAGACAGAAATCTGTTGGGCCATATGGGTCACCTGCCTGGCCAGGGATCAGACTTGTGCTACAATGGCTAGGATAGCTTCTTAGTACTGTGATTTAACCCCTTGTGCCACCAGGGGAGCCCCAGTTTCACGCTGTATTTCATATCACAGTCTGCCCTTTACATCTTATCCTGACTCTATTTAGTGAAGTTAACTTTTAACAGACCTAAAAAAAATCTTAGTAATATAAAATCTTCAAACTCAAAAACTAAGTCTTTGCTCTTTCCATTGTAAACATGCCAGTTTTTTTTTAATGTTTTCCAGAAAGAGTTCTTGACAAAGAACCAGAGAAAAGGAAAATGCAGAAAAAAACATATTGTTCTGTGACAAGTTTCTTGGCATAATGCATATTTTAGTAAAGAGCATAAGAACATGATTCAGAGCACAACTAATGCCAGATTTGGAAAAACCTTAACATTTATGGAATATTGAGTAGAGTACCTAGAAAGTGTGTGTCTCATGGGGAAACAGTATTCTGGATAAAGTACTGTTCTGTTCTGACACATTTTCAAAGCCTAAGTTAGAGAGATACTTTAGGTTTTATGTCCACATCTTTAATTACTTGAGATTTTGTGTATGAATCTACTTTCATCTTTTTGTATATGGCTATTGACGTTTCCCAGCACTATTAGAAAGGCTATCTTTTCTCCATTGCATATCCACAGCTTCTTTGTCAAAGATTAACTGTCCATATTTGTAAGAATTACCTCTGGACTTTCTATTCTGTTCCATTGGTCTGAGTTTCTGTTTTTGTTTCAGTGCCATCCTGTTTTGATTAATGTTGCTGTGCAATGTAGTTTAAAATAAGGAAGTATGATACCTCTATTTTTCTTCTTTTTTCTCAAGATTGCTTCAGTTACTTGGGACCTTTTGTAGTAAGTTCCACATACATTTAATAATTTTCATTATATTCCCTTGAAAAAGTCACTGACAAACTTTAAAACTAATTCTTGAAAGCTGACCATAGGTGTGAGGCTATGTACTATGATGAAGAACTGTTGGTACTTTGATGGTACAAGAATTATGGTGACAACAATGCAAGGGGAGAAATCCTATATTGTTAAAAAAATTCACAGGAAGGGCCCAACCTGGTGGTGCAGCGGGTTAAAGCACAGCACTAAGAAGCTAAATCCACTTCATCATGAGTGGGGTCCCCGCCTGCCCCTGGAGGTGACCCACATGGTGCAGCAGAGCTCTCCTGACCCGCCTACTGCTCCCCTCAGCAGTGTACTACATGAGTCAGCCTGTTCTGCTCCCTACTCTGTCTCTAGTGAATCCTCTCACCGCCCCTGCACCTCTGGACTATACCCCAGTTCTGTATGCATAAATAAAATGATATCTAAAAAAAAAAAAAAATTCACAGGAATATAAAATGATACCCATTAAAATATATAAATACCTAGATATACAAATACACACACCCACATATATGTATAAGTGAAAAATCTCTCAAGGAGCATTGCAATGAAAAGAAATAATTGCTATTTTAATAGATATTGCATTGAATCTGTAATTGCTTTGTGTAATTGACCATTTTAATAAATTAATTCATCCAATCCATGAACATGAATATCTTTTTTTAATTTATTATATATATATATTTTTTTCATCATTCATTTTCATATAATGTATGCTTTATCATCTCACATGTGGTCCCCAAGAAGTTCCCACTACCAATTCACCCAACTCATCATAGTCCTCTGTGCTCTTCCAACCCCTGTTTTGATCCAGTTTCCTCCTCCACTCTTCACCCCCCCAAGACTGTCTGGTTTATAGTTAGTTGCCTGTTGATTTTTGATTTTTACTTTGTTATAATTTTTTTTTTCACAAATCCCTATTTGGGCCCCCTACATTCCACCTATTAAATGAAACCATCTGGTATTTTTCTTTTTCTTTCTGGCTTGTATCACTGCATATGATCCCTTCTAGCTCCATCAATGTTGCAAATAGCATGAATTTATCTTTTTTGACTGTTAAGTAGTATTCCATTGTGTATATATGCAACATCTTCTTGCTTCAGTCATCTGTTTTTGGACATTGGGTTGTGTCCATAACTTACCTATTGTAAATAGTACTACAGTAAATACAGGGGTGCAGGTGACCTTCTGAATTAGTGGTTTTGTAATTCAAAAAAATAAAAAACAACTTCCCTCTGACATATTGGAATTTGAACCTGAGTTCAATTTGAACCATCAATTGAACAAATGGAACTCTAAGGAACTAAAAGGAAAAGGAGGGCATAGGATTGTATTGGTTTTTTTGTTAAAAAATTATTTTTCCTACACACAGGTGACTTGGTGATGGGAAACCCACGGGGATTACAATTGAGATGGAAAAAAAATGTACAAAATGATGTAAAAATAAACTGTTATAAAATAAAAAATATATATATTTTCCCTAAAATACCAATGGACCACAGAATAAACCTGCTTACCTTTGTGTTGAAAATTTTTGCTCCCTGAGAAATTGTGTAGAGTTGTGGATACTTAAACAGGCTCTCTTGACTGCAACACTTGTCGAAGATTCCCAGAGTAATAGATGGTAATGAAGTGAAAATCTACATAGAAAACAAGATTGTCTTAAAAAGAGTGTTTAGTGGGTGTTTGAGTTAATAATATTGTAAAATTAATATCCTGGCTTTTATAGCATTCTATGATTATTAAGATATCATCATGGGAGAGACTGGGTGAAAGATACACAGAATTTTTTACAAATTCTGGTAATTCTTAAACTATTTTAAAATAAAAGTTATTTGCAGAGACACTATTATTATGTCATATATTCCAGAAAAGAAAATCATATGACATTTTTTTCTGATTGATCAACTCCTTTGATTCAATAGCTTGTCTTCAGCTCATATGATACTTTGACTACCCTTTGGGTCCTTGAAGTAGTCCTCTCAGCTTATTGCCTAATGCCTGAAACACATAGTTTTTCATATATTTTGTTTGATTCTCTAATATTTTACCAGTAGGAGAGCAATTTCCATCACAGTTAGTCATAACTGGCAGAAGAAAAATAACATTTCTAAAAATTGAATGGCAATTGATTTAAATTTAGTTATCAAATAACCAGACAAACTATATTTCTGGTATTGCAAGTTACTATTTGAAAGTTCCTCAACCTTATTTTTTTCCATCTGTAAAATGCATGTGCAATGGGTAAGATTTAGTAAGACAATGAATATACTGTATGTTGTTCAATTTTTTTTATTAAATTGTCCTTAATTTTTAAAAAGGATTTATTCATTTATTCATACAGAACTGGGGTACAGGCCAGAGGAGCAGTGGCAGTGAGAGGATTCAACAGAGACAGAGTGGGGAGCAGAATAGGCCGACTCATGAAGTACACTGCTGAGGGGAGCAGTGGGCAGGTCAGGAGAGCTCTGCTGTGCCATGTGGGTCACCTCAGGGGCTGGGAACTGAACTCATGCTGAAGTGGCCTTAGCTTCTTTGTGCTGTGCTTTAACCCACTGCACTACCAGGGAGGGCCCTAAATTATGTGTAACTTTTAAAATATTACATCATCCTTCATTTGGTACAATGTATGTTTCCCTGTGAAACTCCCTCCACCAATTCATCTGTGCACCATCACCATAGTTCCTTGTGTTCTTCCCACTCCTTTCCTGACCCTTCTACCTCATTCTACCCTAGAGAATATCCCTGAATTATAGTTGCTGATGATTTTGATTTATCCTTAATTTTAAATTTTTCATTTTATTGGATGTCCAAAAAATTACTAAATCTGTACATTCCTTTAAATAAATATAGATTCCATTGACCAACATATCATAGTGATTTTTCTAACATAGAGGAATGTCTCTACTGCTCCCTACTGTGGCCTTTAATGAAGCATTAAAGAAAATTGATCACTGTTACCTACGATGTAGAGCCTGGTAAAGGGAACCCTATGTATGCTATATCAGCCTCACTGATATAGTGCTATAGCCAAATACACCTAACCATTAACATGTACACAGCTACAAATATTGATAGAGCTAGATGCTATGGTGCTTTTGCATACTTAATTACTTCTTTCCAGTGATCTGTCAGTACAATAGGTTTCAGAAATTAAAGTTCTAGAAAACAGAATTTAAGGTTTAGGACACTTGACATCCAGAATAGCATGTGATTACAGTAATGCAGCATAGGAAAGAGGGTATAATATAATTGCAAGGAGCCTAATTTGTATTCTGTCCTTAAAGGAGAACACTAATGAAGAAAAATCAAATAAAAAACTTGAAAGCTAATATAGTTAATAAGCTACTTAGCCATGCTATTTATTATAGATCTAATTTTTAAATTTAGAATGTGTTAAGTAATAGCACAGTATTATTTTTAGAAAATTCAATTAAAATTAAAAAGATATTTATAATGGAACTTGTTACCAAAATTTAGCATTTAGTATAGACACAGGGTGATGTATTCCCACATGGACAAATATTCTACACCGTGAAATTTAAAATTATGTACTTATGAACACACACACACAAAGATGAATTTTATATATTGAATGGGTTTAGGTAAAGCTCAGCAATTTTACTTGCTTTAAAAGCATAAAAACATTTTTCAGAAATATAATAAAAAGAATTGTCGGATATATTAGTGAAGTACATTAGCTGCAAGTTTCATGTAGTCATTATAGCATAATCTGCTGTGATTGAAAATACTTGTGGAGTGCTTAAGTTCCCACATTATTAGTCACAGCAAAGGCCCTGAAAATGTATTGGTGTTGCTTTCTATGTATAGAGATGATTGACTATGACATACTTCTCAGACTCAAAACAGTAAAAGAATGTTATTGAAGGTTTGCGTGGAGAATTCTTGCTTACCACATTGTACAAGCTAATGCACCAACGTTCAAACACAATCTGCCCAGAAAATGCATTAACAAAGGCAAACCAAAGCTGAAAGAGAGAGAAACCAAATGAAGTTTTATGTTAGTGTTGACCTAAAAATACCCATATATTTAAAAAGTATATTAATTTAAATTACATATACCCAAATATTAAAAAGGTATAGAACACGGAGACCTCTTTGGACAGAATTGCTAGAAAATAATTAGTAAGAAGGTATGCAATTATTCTTTCACAAATTGTGAGCTTCAGATATTACTGATATTAAAAATATGGATGTACTTCATATATGTTTATCCTCAACTATGAATTTCTGGCAAAACTTCATTTACAAATAATTTAAAATCAAGAAAATAATATTTGTTGTATGCTTTATATTGGCATAGTTAGCAAAACTATATCACAGTGCCTTACTAGTAATTGCCAGTCTATACTGGGCACTTCTGATATACCTAGCACTATTCTGTTACCTGAAATGCATTATTATACTAAAGCAATATCATTAAGTAGGTGCTAATAGTACTTTTATTTATTTAATCATTATTAAATTTAAGAACTGGAAACTAAGGCTCAACAAGGTTAAATTATACAGTAGGTCATACTGCTAATATGTGGCAGAAACAAGAGGTACCTAGATCTACATGAGTCAACTTAAGTGGTACAGGTGCTTTGCTAAAATGTATTATGCATTAGAAAAGAATCTACTTTATGGTTTGAGATTATGAAGATAATAATTTCAATTGCATCTTTTCAACTTTGAGAGGTAGTTATATACATGCAGTTTATGGTCAGAAATACCTGAGGTTGAATCCCAGTTCTGTCACTTTCTAGCTTATGCTGGTTATTGAACTTAATTGAACTTAAATAGCCTCCATCACTCTGTTTCTCATAAGATTTGCAAGTTTTAAGTAAGATAATACTTTTGAAATGATTATCATAGTTTTTGACATATTGATTCCATTAATATTATTTTCTTACTTAGCCACATATAACAAAAGTTTTTGAAAAATGCCTCATATCTCCTTACAATGAGTTCTAACTAGCAACATAATACTTTCTAAAATACAACTCATGGTCTGGAGCACTTTGGAGTTTAATTGGTTTATATACGAATAGGTTTAATACTAAATACTAATTGGTTTAATAACTACACAAAAGCAATTAGATGGTATTAAAATGTAGTTTATAATTAAGTATATTTTAAGAAGAATAAAATCAATAGTAACAAATACCAATCCTGGGTTTTATGGGCTCAATATAACCAAGTGGTTGAAAGACCTAGTTATTTCAAATCTAGTCTCATTTCCCAAGATAGTATAGTACCAGGTAATCCTAAAAACAGTTTAAAAATTTATACTCCTCACTTGAAATAACATCCTTGACTACCTTATATATTTATAAGATTTTGACAGCTAGTCTAGGTAGCCCATGAACTGGAAGGATTTTTCTGAATAGAATTTGATGGACTGATTGTACAATGTTGTTTGTTGAAAGTGTCACAAGTTTTTAGGTCATAGAACAAGTGAATTCTGAACCATTACAACTCATCACTCTTTGCTGTTTAAGTTCCTGTGCTAACTCTTTATGAGACTGGAGCCCTGCTAATAGCATTCTTATTTGGTAGAAAATAGTAAATTGAATGTTCTAAAATAGATGGACAGCTTTTTATTGAGCTCACTCAATCTATTCACATTTTGGCAAGATCCCATTTGATAACACAATAAACATTATAGAAAAGACCAGTACTCCCTATATAATACTTAACCTAATCCCAATTAAAATCTCCATAAGAATTTTTGTAGACATAGGAATGCTTATCCACTAAATATTAGGTATGCTTATTTATTAAATATTAGGTATTTAGGAAAAAACACATAGAGGAAAATTCTTTGGAATCTAAAGCTAGGCAAATAGTTTTTTGGGATTGTACCAAAAGAATGCACTACATAAAGGGAAAATTTTATAATTTAGGACCAAACTTAAAGATTTTTCTTCTCTGAAAGACTTCATTAAGATAATGAAATTATGAGATAAAGACAAGTAAAATATTTACACACTGCATATCTGATAAAGGACTGGTATCTAGAATATTGTGAAGAACTCAGAATTTGAATAAAAAAATAATAATTAGAAAATAAACAAAATATATAAAATAGTTCACCAAAGAATATATTCAGATAGCAAAATAGTTCATGGCAACTCATGAACTATTCAACATCATTATCCACTAGGGAAATGAAAGTTATAGGCACAGTAAGATACCACTACTGTCAGAATAGCTAAATAATAAAAAGTGGTAACACCAAATGATAGCAAACTCTGCGGTAGAGATGCATTCCAGTTCCCAAAAGGAAACTTTTAACCACAATCTGTGCCAATAGGTCATCATAATAAGACTTTTTTACTAAATCAATCTAACAGGAGCAAAACTTAAAGCAGGAATTATATGTCTGTAGTTTAAGTGAGAAAAATATGAAGAAACTAAACCACCAAGATTTCACTGTTATGGGAAAAATTTAAGTAAAGAAAGTGTATCTCCCTTTTTACCTCAATAAGAAATAGCACAATGTTCTTGTAGAAACAATATAATATACATTTGGTCACTCGAAAGTAATTCCAGACCCCATGAACCAACAGAAGCTTCTCCAAGTAGCTAAACTGAAAGAAAAGAAAAAAAGACAGTAAATGCATGTTCTAAGAAACCTACCACTTAATGACAAAAGCCACAAACTGTATTTTCCCAGTGTTTCATATGTTGGTAGCTTTATTTGTGGAGAATATAACACAGGTTAAGAGAATGAAACCATTTTGGCAGACAACATAACATAGCATTCACTATAAAGGAATTTTTTAAACTTCATGAAACTAACTTCTTATTTAGAAAAAAAAAAAAAGAACACCCTTTATTCCAGCTTGGATTTTCACTTGTCATATACAAGAGTTTGAGTTTAAATTGATACACAATTAGAGCCTTAATCATGAAAAGGAGCCAAAATTATTTAATGAAAGGAACATCATAAGGCCAAGAAGAACCTCAGTCTCAATCACTGATCTTTTTCTTATCAGTACAATTAGCAGTGTCTTAAAGAAATCAGTTTCCTATTTCCTATAAATAAATGAAAAGGAAAAAAGTGGTAACACGTAACCTCTGCAATTATTCCTAAGCCTCCTTACCTTCATCTTTATCTTCCTTTTCCATAGCACTGACTGCCCTGACGAAGACAGACTTTATTGTAATGAGTTTTTTTTTTCCTCCTAGAATGGAAGCTCCATGAAAGTAAGACTCATCAATTAACTTAAGAAGCTGGAACTCCCAAATCACATGCCCAGGGTGTGGTAAGTAAAGTCAACATTTCTTCAATGAACTAATAGCATTCAGAAAGTTACTGCATAAAATGAAGTTATATAGTAAATTAATGATTCCTAAGATGAAATACTGACTCCAAAGTGGCAAAGGTTGTACATGTGAAAAAAAAATACCTTTCAAAAAAGACTTATTTAAGAGTTTGGACCATGAGGGAACAGGAGAAGGAGAGAAGACATTGAATCATGAAATGCCTAGCTAAGTTAGAAGGGTGTGGTGTACGTGCAAAATAAAATACTTTAGCATCTGTGACAAGATGGATGGAACTGGAGGGGATTGTGATAATCAAGAGAAAGACAAATACCCATTATTTCATTCATGTGGAATATAGAGAAACAAATCCAAAGAACAGATAAAACCAAAGATACAAAATACTAGATACCTAACTGTAGAGCTGAATTTACCAAATTCAGGTCCAAGTGGACTGTGTGGAAGGGCCCAGTGGACTGTGGGGGAGAGCTATGGGTTTCTTGGTGGTTGGTGGATGTGGTGTAATAACATACATCTGAATCATACATAACATTGTATGCTAGTTTTACCTCAATAAAAATAAATACAGATTAGAATTTTTTCATGCATGAACTGAAAACAAATGAAAAAAAAATTATTTTCACTTAGAATGTTATTGCCTTAATTCTTAGCTTTGCAATGGTTTATTTGTAGAGGAAAAATGTTCTACTTCTTTGGAAGATTTACAAATATTAAGAAGTTTGGGGAAGGGGAGTTATGTAGTTTTCTTTTCAAAGAATAAAATAATGTGTTATAGGAGCAGAATGTTCTCTTGGTATGCTCTGATAATTAGAAATTTTTGCATTAGTAACGTAATTGTTTGGCCCACTGTTGTGTCATAAGTAAGGGTGGTTGACAGGGAAGGCGTAAATGGAAAACCTTCTATCATAGAAGTGGGCTAAGATTCATTCAAAACTGCAAAGTGGGAAAAATACAAAATGGTTCACACCATGACAGAATACAAAGTGGTTCACACCATGATAGAATGCACTCTTCCTGTCTCCAGTCATAGCTGCTATCAGGTAAAAGTAAGAGGGAGAAAAATTGATGTAGCTGAAAGTCATGCACCTGAAATACTGTTTTAATAGGAGTAAAAGCATATGTCAAACCCAACTTCCTGCATTAGTTACCGACTTGGTGTGGCATAGTAGAGGTGGGTGGAAGAAAAGAAATCCTAAAAATAATACATATTATCTGCTTAATCATGAATGCTATTGCTATAAGACACTCAAGAACTTTAAGTACAAAGCTGATAAAAGTGTTAAATTCCACTGACGAGGATGAAGGCTGGTCTGGAGCTCAGGGCAAACTAACAAATCCATTTCCCCTTTCCGTTACTTACAAACATTAAGTGAAAAGAACAACCTACCAATTCTAAATTCCTTTAAGAATTTGTTTTAAAAGGAGAAGGCTGGAATCATTTTCTGTAGAAATATTATATCAAATGTTGCCCTGCATACCAGGACACCTGATTCCGACCGCTTTGTATGCCCGTTGTGCCTTACAGTTCAAGGTTTATGTCACATCACCCCTGAGACCATAGGAAACATATATTCCAGAGGCTTTTAGCAGCTAAGAAAAGGAAACAGATGAATTGTATGTAATCATTTCCTTTTTAACCAAAGATGACTTGATCATAGTCTAGTGACACTTTCCTCATTCTCACTCCCGAGTAGATCCCTTCAGCAGTTTTTCCCATATGTAAAGCCAAGACACTTAATCCATGAATAAGGAGGAGAATATCAGAATAAGTCTGATTCAAACATTAAGGCAATGTGCTTTTTTTCTATGCTGTAGAAATTTATAACCACTGTAAAGACCTGATGGTGATGACTCAGTCAGAGTTTTATGGTTATCCTTAAAGAACTGTGTAAGAATTACATGTGGCTTCTGAATTTAGCAATATTGAAAAGCATACTGTTAACCTCTCAAATGTGATGAATGTATTATGTACTTTAAAGGCAAATATTAAATTATTGATTAAAATGTTCATCACAAGTCAAACTTTTAAAAATTAGAAACTGAATTATTAAGCAGCAAAGAATATTATATAAACATGCAAGTGTTGTAAATCTCACGGTTACGTACTTTCCTTAAGTGCCTGCCAAAACATGATAGAGCCACTGTGGAGGGTAGTTTGGCAGTTACTTCCAAACTAAACATATACTTATCCTATAATCCAACAACTGCATGCCTTGGTCATTTACCCAAAGGAGTTGAACACTTTTGTTCATACAAAGACTACCCACGGTTGTTTATAGCAGTTTTAGTCATAAATGCCCAAACCCAAAAATCACCAGGATGTCTTTTAGTAGGCAAATAGGTTAAAAAAAAAAAACTGACAGAAGTCTCAGTGCTATCAAGCTATTGCCAACCATTGCAGCATGAGTTCTATCCCAGCCAGGGAGCTGACCCACAGGGCACAACAGACCACTCCTGTATCCCCTATTGTTCCCCCAGCAGTGTATTTCAGTTGATATGCCTGTTCTGCTCCTCACTCTGTCTCTGGTGAATTTACTGCCTGCACCCCAGATCTTCTATAAGAAGTAAAATAAGTCAAAAAAAA